TGGGGATTCTTTGGTTGTTGTATTCAATTCAAGTCAAGATGCCTAAGTACTGAGGTAACAGAAGCACAAACATGAAATTTAACTTGTATTGTTTGGGAGATTCAAGGAGATGACCTAATAATTCATTCTGACCTTCAAAACTGAGTTTCTGATTAGTTTTTTTGCAGTTGTAGAAAGTATGGCTGGGTAGTGAGGGTATGGAATTTGTGCAGATATTAAGTGTAGTGAGAACTGCACCACAGTTTAGCATTTAAGCTAATGCTGATTCAGCATTAACCATTACATATCTCTCTACTCAGTGTATTTTTAAAATCCTGAGGATCCTCTGACAATTTCAGAAGCCAAGGAGACCCCATCTGTCTGTAAACTTGCTGAATTAGAACTGGCGCAGCAAAGTGATCCTGTGATCTGGTCTCTGTTGTGTAATCTGCCTGACCTATGCCTTCTAGGAGCAGATTTTTGCAGCTGCACTCATAGCCTATGCAAATTTCTAGCCGTAGATACTCTCCCTCTGCAGGTAGCGGTCACTTGTAGCACGTGTTCCTGATTTCTACTCAGTTTTATTAATGCAAAAAGAAAGCCTATTAGTTTATTAAATGGTGATTGCAGTAATCACCAGGGATCCTGGTTTTTCCTGATGATAAATCACAAATTCTGTTTAAAAAAAAATGGCAAAATCCATGATTAAAATGGACAGCCCATCACTCCCCCTTCCCCACCCCAGCCTCCCTAGCTCTGCTAGAGGTGGCCCCTAGCTGCTAGGGCTACAGGGCCAGGGACCTGGGTCCATAGCCCCCTGCCCCTAGCAGGAGGCAGCGGTTGCTGTGACAGAGCAGAGCCCAGCTCCCCCCCCATTCCCTACTGCCTGCCTGCTGCAGGATTGGGGTGGGGGGGTTGCTCCCTGCCACTCTGTGCACTCCTGGGTGGGGAGGGGGGGCAGGAGGGACCTGTGACCCCAGATCTGTGCATAGGGTGGAGGTGGGCATGGGCTGCCTATTGCAGGCTGGGGCTCCTGCCCTGCTGCCCTCCCCCAGAGCCTCTATAGCCCAGCAGATGAGACCCGGTGTTGCAGGACAGAGCAGAGCTTTGTGGGGAAGCTTGTTGCCACAGTGAGCCCTGCGCTGTCCTAGCAAGGTGCCCCTGTCCATACAGTAGCAGCAAGGGGCACAACCCCATGCCGCTATCCCTGCTGCTGCCTCGTGTGGGCAGGGTATGCCTCACCAGGACATCATGGAGCTTGCAGCAGCAACAAGCTTCCTTGCATTATTCATAGATTCATAGATGTTAGGGTCGGAAGGGACCTCAATAGATCATCAAGTCCGACCCCC